GGATCCCAGATTTAGGATACCAGTTTTAGGATCCCAGGTTTAGGATCCCAGATTTAGGCTCCCAGGTTTAGGATCCCGGGAGGAGTATCCCAGGTTTAGGATCCCAGATTTAGGATCCCAGATTTAGGATCTCAGGTTTAGGATCCCAGATTTAGGACCCCAGTTCTAGGATCCCAGGTTTAGGATCCCAGTTTTAAGACCCCAGGTTTAGGGATCCCAGATTTAGGACCCCAGGATTAGGATCCCAGATTTAGGACCCCAGTTTTAGGATCCCAGATTTGGGACCCCAGATTTAGGGATCCCAGGTTTAGGCTCCCGGGAGGAGGATCCCTGGTTTAGGATCCCAGTTTTAGGGATCCCAGGTTTAGGACCCCAGGTTTAGGATCCCAGGAGCGGGACCCTAAGTTTAGAATTCCAGAATTGGGACCCCAGGTTTAGGATCCCAGGATTAGGGATCCCAGGTTTAGGATCCCAATTTTAGGGACCCCAGGTTTAGGATCCCCGATTTAGGACCCCAGTTTTAGGGATCCCAGATTTAGGACCCCAGATTTAGGATCCCAGTTTTAGGGATCCCAGATTTAGGACCCCAGATTTAGGACCCCAGCTTTATGATCCCTGGTTTAGGATCCCGGGATCGCGGAGGGGTCGGGGCTCCGCGGCCCCGCGCCCGTTTGGGGTGGGGACAGCGCGGGTGGCAGCTCGGGCGGGTCCCGCCGGTTCCGGCGGGGTCGGTCCCGGGCTCGGTGTCGGGCCGGGGGTTCCCGGGGGTGCTCCGGGACCGGCACCCCCCGAATTCGTTGTTTTCCTTTTAATTTCGTTTCATTTCTTTTTATCCGGGCGGCCGCGGCAGCGGCGCGATCACCCTGGGGACAACCTGGCAGGGTTGGGGACAACCGGAGTGTCCCCAACGCGTGGGGGGGTGTCCCCAAACCGCCCGCACCGGGGACACCCCGAATTCACCGGGCGCGGCCGCTCCGGTAACGAAACCGGCGCTGGCCGAGCTCAGCGCGGGCCCGACGGCCTTGGGGACACACGAGGGTGGCCCAGGGCTGCGACACGGTGACAAAATGCACCCACTGTCCCTCGGGGGCACTGCTCGGGTGTCTCCGCACGGTCACACGGTGCCACTCGCACCCGGCCGTGTGTGCACGGGGCTGCGGCCACCCTGATGTCCCCAAAAGCCACCGAGCCACCCCAAACCCGCCACCCAGGGGACCCCGGGGAGGTGTGGCAGGTCCCCTCCTGCCCGCGTGGCTGTCCCACTGTCCCACGGCACCCGTGGGCATTGCCCTGGTGTCCCTTCCTGTCCCCTCCCTGTCCCCTCGTGTCCCCTCACAGTCCCCTGGCTTTTTGCCCGATGTCCCCTCGCAGTGTCCCCGTTGTCCCCTCACAGTCCCTGGGTTGTTTTCCCTTGTCCCCACGCAGTCCCCCCGTGTCCCCAAACAGTTCTTGGTGTCCCCAACCATCTCCTGATGTCCCCGCACCGTCCCCCCGCCGTGTTTCTCGTTGCTCCCCCGTGTTGTCCCCACTCCCTCCGTGTCCCCACACAGAACCCCCGTGTCCCCACACAGCTCCCGGTGTCCCCACGCTGTCTCCGCACCGTCCCCCCCGTGTCCCCACAAAATTCCCCCGTGTCCCCGTGCAGTGCCCCGGTGTTTTCTCACGGTCCCCGAGTGTCCCCTCACGGTCCCCCGTGTTTTCGCAGTTCCTCGGTGTCCCTTCACTGTCCCCAGGGTCCTCTCACAGTCCCTCGTGTCCGCACGAGTCCCCTCACGGTCCCCACGTGTCCCCTCAAAATCCCCGGTGTCTCCCCACAATCCCCGGTGTCCCTTCAATGTCCCCCCGTGTCCCTTTACTGTTCCCCCGTGTCCCCTCACAGTTCCCGGTGTCCTCTCAGTGTCCCCAGTGTCCCCCCGTGTTTTCACAATCCCTCCGTGTCCCCTCACGGTCCCCGGTGTCCCCTCAGTGTCCCCCGGTGTCCCCTCACGGTCCTCCCCTGTTTTCACGGTCCTCCCGTGTCCCCTCACGGTCCTCCCGTGTCCCCTCAGTGTCCCCCCGCGTTTTCACGGTCCCCCCGTGTCCCCTCACGGTCCTCCTGTGTCCCCTCACAGTTCCCGGTGTCCCCTTAGTGTCCCCAGTGTCCCCCCGTGTTTTCACGGTCTCCCCGTGTCCCTTCACGGTTCCCAGTGTCCCCTCCCGGTCCCCGGTGTCCCCTCACGGTCCCCGGTGTCCCCTCACGGTCCTCCCGTGTTTTCACGGTCCCCCCGTGTCCCCTCACGGTCCTCCTGTGTCCCCTCACAGTTCCCGGTGTCCTCTCAGTGTCCCCAGTGTCCCCCCGCGTTTTCACGGTCCCCCCGTGTCCCCTCACGGTCCCCGGTGTCCCCTCACGGTCCCCGGTGTCCCCTCAGGGTCCCCGATGTCCCCTCAGTGTCCCCCCGTGTTCCCACACCCCCCCGTGTCCCCACGGTGTCCCCACGCGGTCTCCCGGTGTCGCCGCCGCTGTCCCCGCTCCCGCCGAGGCCCCGCACCGTTCCCGGGCCCGGCCCGGGTGTCCCTCGGCGGTGTCCCCACCGGGGCTGTCCCCGGGGCTGCCGTTCCTTGGCGGGGACAGGAGAAATGTCCCCTCCCGGTGCCACCGGGAGCGGCCGGTTCGGTCCCGGGGGAAGCCGCGGCTCCGCTCCCGCACCGTCCCCGCCGCCAGGCCCGGGGCCGACCGAGCGCACCGAGCCGGGCCTTACCTCCACCTCCGGTGCACCGGGAGCAGCGGGGAGGGGTGCGGATCCTTCTCTAGAGCGGGAAACCGGAGGAATTCCGGTTTTTTCGGGATTTTTTTCCATCTCCGGAGCGGCGAGAAGCGGGGCGGGGGCTCGGCGGGGCCGGGAACGGGGATGCACCGGGAGAACGCGGCCGCTCCCACCCCGGGCCGGGCCTGGCTGGGCTGGGTGTGCTGCGGGAGCGAGGAAAAACGGGAATATTGATAATAAAATCATCGATCAATCGTGCTGATATCGCTGATCGCGCTAATAATAGCGCTAGGAAGGGCGCTAATAATAGCCAGGCTAATAGAGCCGCTAATAACGCTAATTTTAACGCTAATTAAAACAACAACAACGGCGCTAAACCCCACCCGAAAACAACAACGAGCGGACAATAAAAATGGAGATTTTTAAATTAGCGTTCTTTTTATAAATTATTGGTTCTGAGGATCTCGTCGCTTCCCTTTCCCGGCAGCTCGGAGCCGGTGTTTCCCCTTTTTCCCCGTTTCAACTTCTCCCGGAGCAAATCCCTTCCCGTTATTATTCCCGTTAATCGTGGGGATAACGGGAAAAAAAAAAAAAGAAATAGAAAAGAAAAACAAAATAAAAACAGAAGAAAAACAAACCAAAAAACAGCAGCAGGAAAGGAGCGGGAGCCGTGAGGAGGCGGCGGGAGCTGAACGGGCACCGGCGGCTTAACGGGCACCGGGGCCGCTTCTCCGCCGCTCGGGGCCGGGGCTCGGCGAAAAGAAAAGAGGATTTTCCGTTTCCAGCAGCTCCCGGGCGATTCGTCTTCCCGGTGGGACCGGCCCGGAGCCTTTCCCCGCGGCCCTGAGGGGCTGAGGCCGCAGGGCGGGCTGCGTTTGGGGTCATTTTCTTCGTTTTCGTTAAAAATCGTTGTTGGTGGCGCATCCACCACCGGGCCCGGTGGCGGGGCACGGCGGAGCCCGGCGGTCTGTCCGGTTGTCCGGCTGTCCGGTTGTCCGGCTGTCCGGCTGTCCGGTTGTCCGGTTGTCCGGCCCGGGCCCTACCGCAGCCCCGGCAGTTGGAGAACCGGGAACGCGGAACGGGGAGCCGGGAATCGTTTCTGTCTCTCAGCACCTTCCCCGGAGCGGCGACTCGGTCCCCGCTCGCCCCTCCGGGCCCCGGTGAACCGGAGCTGCGGCCCGGGACCTCCGGCCTTGAGCGGGGCCCGTCCCCTGCGCTCTGCCCGCTCGGCCTTTTTCGTTCGCTTTATTTCCTTCCCTTTTCCCCCTTTTGATTTCTTTCCTTTTGCTTTTCCTTATTCCTACAGGTTTTTTGGGTTTGTTTTTTGGTTTGTTTTTTTTTTTTTTTTTTTTTGTCGTTTAATTCTATTTTTTTTTTCCTTTCGAATTTTATTTTTTCCCCGCCGTTCTGCCCGCGCTGTTCCGGTTATTTCAGCGGCCGCTCCAGCCCCAGGCCTTGAACTCCCGGTGCCCGCCAGAGCCCAAACCGGGCACCTCCCGCCTCTACCGGGCTCTACCCGGTGCCCTGCGGACCCCCCAACCCGGCACGGTGCCCGGTACCGGTCCGTGGGTGCGGCGGAACGCGGGAGCTGAGAAATCTCGGGACTACTTTTGCTTAAATTTAATTAATTTATTTTTTAATCCGCCGCCGTTAGAACCGTTCCGACCCCAGGCAGTACCGGGGAGGGGGGCGGCCACCCCCGGGGAAGCACCGCGGCCGCCGCCGCCGCTTTTTCCGCCCGGTTTTACCCCGTTGCGGCGACAGAGACCCCCGGGACACCCCCGCACACACCGGGTCCGGTACTCCCGGCTGGGAACCGGGAGCCGCCCCGCTCGGTGCCGGATCAGGGAATTTCGGGGGCCGACAGCGGGGTAACCCCGGTAGCACCGGGACTCCCCCGGTAGCCGCGGGGCAGCGCGGGGAAGCGGCACCGGAGCTCCCCGACCCCCGCCCGGCCCGGGGAGGGGCAGCGCCCACCGGGACCGGGGGATTTATCTTTTTTTTTGTTGTTGTTGTTGCCACCTCTGGCGGCTCTGTCCGAGCTGGGCGGGGGTCCCTAAGGTGACCCCCCGAGGAGGAACCGGGAACCGGAGCCGCCGCTGTTGAAACCGGGCAGCGGCCGCCGAGGGGCTCTTTGTTTACCAATCGGTGTCACAGCACGGGAGGGCAGGAAATTGCGTCTGTACCGAGCCGTTAATTTAAAATCGGCTTTTTCCTCCCCTGCCGCTCTCCCCGCGGCCGCTCCCCGGTGCGGCGGGGGCTCGGCCGCTCGTTCCCCGCTGCCGGCTCCGGTGGCGGCCGCCGGGGGATGCGCAGCGGAGCGCGGCGGCGGGGGAGGGCCGGGCTGGAGGAATAAGGACCCGGCTTCTTCTCCGGTCCCACCCCCGGCCGCTTCCTCCGCAGCTCCCTCCCCTTTCCCCTCCCGCTCCCCCCCTACATCCCCACCACCCCCTAAAATCATCGCCCGCGGTCTCCCGGTATTGATCTCCCGAGCGCGGCTACCGACACCGACAGCGGGAGCCGCACCGGTACCGGCGCTCCATGGAAGGGCAGCGGCGGCCACCGGAGCGCCTGAAGTTTGCCCGGAGCGAGGTGCGGCGGGAGGTGGAGCTGGGGAGGGGGCGCGGGGGGCGTGGGGTGGGGGGCTCGGCCGCCTGTCAAACTTTGAAACTCCTTCGCCACCCCAAAACCTCGCACCCTCTCGGGACGCCCCGACGTCTCCCCCGGTGCCACCCCCGGTGCCACCACCCCCGGTGCCACCCCCGGCCCGGCGGGGCGGGGAGGGGGGTGCGCTTTAAATGCCGGGTGGGAGAGGGCGACAAGCGACAAGCGACAGCCCCCGGCGGTCCCCGGCCATGGGGGTGAGCCGGGGCGCAGAGCCCCGGGGGGGCCGGGGAGGGGCGGGGAGGGGAAGGGGTCTGCGGAGGGTGGTGGTGGTGGGGGGGGGGTTCCCTCCCATCCCCCCCGCCCAGCTTTGCCTCCTCTCTCCCTCTCCCCGTGTCTCGCTCTGCCTCCCGATGTTTGATCCCGCCGCGGCGCCCGCAGGGATGAGCGATGGAGGGGCCGAGCCCGGTGGTAGCCCCGTGCTGTTGGCCGAGCCCGCGGCCACCGGGCGGGCCCGGGAGAAGCTGCCGACCCGGGCGGAGCTGGACAGCGCCCTGCGCACCGGTGGCGGAACCGCCGGCGGCTTCAAGGACATCCCGGGAACGTCGTCGGTCAGCCCCGGCTCCTCCAAGCAGTGCGCCCCGGACACCGAGAGCCCGTCGGGGACCGGCGAGGCGGATTATTGCCGCCGCATCCTGGTGCGAGGTACGGACGCGCTCCCCGCTCCGCTCCCCGCTGCTCCCGCTTCCCCCTCCGGCCACGGGGCACCCCCGGCACCGCTTCCAGCGCATCCCCGGCGCTTCCCGGCTGCCACCTCCGGTATCCCGGCCCCGCCGCTTCTGCCCCGGCTGCGCTGAGCGCGGCACGGACCGGGCCCGCTGCCCCAGCCCGGCTCGGAGCGGGGCGGACCGGGAGGGCTCCGGGGGAACAGCACCGGGGTCACGGACCCTCCGGGCCGGCGGAGCCCCGCGGGGAACGCGCGGGCGGCGGGAGAGGGGGGACAGCATCAGCTCGGCGTTGGGAGCGATGTCGCAGGAGAAAAGCGTCACGGAGCGGCGGCGGGCGAGGGGGGGTTTATTTATTTTATTTTTTTTTTTTTACCCTTTATAATGTCACCGGCTCGGCCCCGGTTGGGACTCGGTGCTCCCCGGACCCGCCGCGTCCCGCACCCCTCATCCCGCCCCGCCGCCCGCGCTCGGTCCCCGCCGGCCCGGGACTCGCCGGGAGCGCTCCTGGCTTGTGGCGAACCCCGAGAAGTTTGGGGCTCCCTGGCGCGGCTGTCGCTGGCGGGCGGGTCCCGAGCGCTCCGCGGCTCCGGGATCCCGGGGATGCTCCGCGTTCCTCCGCCGCTGGCGGAGCCCGGAGCGGCTCGGCGGCCGCTCGGCGATCAGGGCCGAGGCCTCCCGGTGCCCAGCGCAGCGCTCGGGCAGCGGAGCGGCGGCTCCGTCCTCACCGGCGGGTGACACCGGTGCCACGTCCCTGTCGCGTCCTCATCCCGGGCTCGGGCATCCCGCCAAAGCCCCGCCGCTCACCCAAGCCTCTCTCCCGGTTGTCCGACAGCCCGGTTGTCCCGGTCCGAACCGGGGACAGCGGCCGAGCAGCGGGCACCTCTCACCGGCGAGCCCCGGGGTCCCGCCCGTGCTGTCCCCGCGTCCCCGAGGGTCACCGAGCGGGGCTGCGGCCGGTCCCACCGGGGTCAGGCTGGGGTCAAGCCTCTCCTCCGCCGGTTTCAGCCCCACCGAGGCCGCCCCGACGGTACCGGCACCGGGAGAGCGGCGGGGATCGGTGCCCAAGGCCGGGGCAGGGTCTCCGCTCCCGCCGACCCCGGGGACCCTCACCCGGTTTCACCATCTTGCTGCAGCCGCCACGGTGCGGACAAAATGGTGGCGGGGAGAAAACGCCGCAAATCACCGGGATTGAGCCGAAATGAAGCGGGGGCAACGTGGAGGAGCCACCCGGGCTGCGGGGACACCGACCCGCCGGTCCCGGTCCCGGTCCCCACCCGCCCCGGCCGCGGTCCCGCAGCCGGGCAGGGCCGGGGCCGAGCAGCGGCTGGGCCCGGGCAGAGCCTCCCGGTGGGTTTTGTGCGAAGCGGGAGGTTAAAAATGTTAATTTTAATGTTTTAAAATTTAATGTTTTAAAATAATTTGAGTTTCACCCTCGCTGCTCGCCCCGGGAAAGCTCCGGCCTCGGTGAGGGGCGGCTGCGGCAGAGCTGCCGCCAGCCCCGGTGCAGCCCCGGTGCAGCCCCGGTGCTCGCCCAAGGTGATTTCGGTGAAGTCGGGGGGTCCTGGTGACCCCTCACATCGACGGGGTCTTCTCGGAATCTCGGTCTGCTCGCCGGTCCCGCCGTACCGGGGATGGTCCGTGCGGGACGGAGCCTCCCGGTCACCTCCCGGTCACGTCCCGGTCACCTCCCGGTCACCTCCCGGTCATCCCTGTCTGGTTGGGAGGGGATCCCGGGGATAAAGGGGACAAGGAAGCACCTGAGCAGCTCCGGGGTCGGTGCCGCTGTCACCGCGGCCACTGCAGCCGCACGGGGCCAGGGACACATCCCGGTCACCTCCCGCAGGGCACGTGGAGGGACCCCGGTGGCGTTTGTGCCACCCCATGGCACTGAGGGGACACCCTGGGGGCTGGCAGAGGGGGTGTGTGTCCCGAAAGGTCCTGACAGCTGTGTTGGGGTGGCAACCCAGGTGGGCATGGGTGTCCCTGTGCCACCGTGAGGCGTCCCCATGGATTTGGGTGCCCTCTGCACTTTTGGGGGATTCCAACCCCAGCCATGTCCTGGCTCCAGAGCCACCAGGTGTACCCCGGTCCCCAAGAGCAGGATGTGCCACCAGCGAGGCCCAAGGCTCTGGAACCCTCCAGGCATGACCCGGGGCTCCAGAAAGGGAAAAGATTCTCAGCAGGGCGTTCCAAAGGCTGGAATGAGGGGGATGAGCACCCCAAAACCTACCCTGGGGAAGGTCAGGATGGTGGGACGAGGGGTTTGGTGTCCCCTGTGCCGAGCTGGCACCGCGGCCGTGCCCTTTTCCCTGCCGTCCCTCCGGAGCTGCTCCAGCTGCCGGGGGAATAACAATAAATAATGCCCGAGCTGGAGCCGAGGCCGCAGCTGCGGCCCCAGATCCGGCATTCCCGGTGTTCCCGGCTGTTGTTGTGCCGTGGCCGTGGCGTGGGCACGGACGTGGGCATGGGAGTGCGGACGTGGCCCGGGCATCGTCACCGCCATGGCGCTTCCCACACAAAATGGTTCCTGGCGCTGATCCCGCCAGAAAAGCCGCTGATCCGCCTACAACTCCTTTCCTTCCCAGCAGCTCCGTGCCAGCCTGTGGGGTTTGGGGTGTGGGCCCGGTGCCACCACCCCCTGTGCCACTCTGGGTGTCCCCAAGCCCTCAGGACTCTCCGGTGCCGTGTTCTGGGATGGCGCCTCGGCCATGTCCCGCGGCTCCACGGCGGGAGAGCGGCTCCGGGATTGGGGTCCCTTTCCCAAATCGGTGTTTGGTCCCCATTGCCATCCCGGTGCTGGATCCACTGCCCTCATCCCAGCTCCTGTGCCCTCATCCCAGCTCCTGTGCCCTCATCCCAGCTCCTGTGCCCTCATCCCAGCTCCTGTGTCCTCATCCCTGTCCGCCGATCCACCATTTCAATCCCGGTGCCGCCATTCCAATCCCGGTGCCACCGTTCCCATTCCAGTGCCACCATTCCCATTCCACTGCCACCATTCCCATCCCAGTGCCACCATTCCAATCCCAGCGCCCCCATTCCAATCCCAGTGCGACCATTCCCATCCCAGTGCCGCCATTCCAATCCCACTGCCACCATTCCCATCCTGGTGCTGGATCCACTGCTCTCATCCCTGCTCCTGCGTCCTCATCCCTGTCTGCCGATCCACCATGCCAATCCTGGTGCCGCCATTCCAATCCCAGTGCCGCCATTCCAATCCCAGTGCCGCCATTCCCATCCCAGCGCCCCCATTCCAATCCCAGTGCCACCATCCCCATCCCAGTGCATCCATTCCCATCCCAGCGCCCCCATTCCCATCCCAATGCCACCATTCCCATCCCAGCATCACCATTGCCATCCCAATGCCACCATTCCCATCCCAGTGCTACATTCCGATCCCAGTGCCGCCATTCCCATCCCAGCACCCCCATTCCAATCCCAGTGCCACCATTCCCATCCCAGCACCACCATTGCCATCCCAATGCCACAATTCCCATCCCAGTGCGTCCTTCCCAATCCCAGTGCCACCATCCCAATCCTGGTGCCACCATCCCAATCCCGGTGCTGCCATTCCCATCCCAGCACCACCATTCCCATCCCAGTGCCACATTCCCATCCCAGCACCACCATTCCCATCCCAATGCCCCCATTCCCATCCCAGTGCCATCATTCCACTCCCAGTGCCACCGTTCCCATCCCAGCACCACCATTCCAATCTCGGTGCCACCGTTCCCATCCCAACGCCCCCATTTCCATCCCCACCGTCCCCACCCCATCTCCATCACCCCACTCCCAGCTTTTCCTCGCTGTTTTCCTCCTTCCCACCCCAGGAATTTTGTAACCCCTTCATGCCCAACTCAGCCAGCGGGAGGGAGAACCACTGACCTCCATCCAGGATCCCCCCGGAATGGGGATCCAGCATCCCAAAATCAGGGCTTGGAGTGACTTCCTGGCTGGATTTTAACCCTCTGGAAAAGCCCCAAAAAGTCCCAAACCGAGCCTGGATTTGGGATCTGGGGCGATCCCAATGACCAATTCCTGAAGCTCATTTTAATTCCTGAAGCTGGGGCAGAATTCCTGTGGATTTTTTTTTTTTTTGGTGGAGTTTCTCCTTTCCTGGTGGGAAGCGAAGCCACGGAGGCTCCTCTGAAATGGCCCCACGGCCAAACCCTCAAACTTTTCTTTCCTTGGATATTCCCAACCTCATAAAATCCACAGCCGGGAGCAGCTCGGCACCCACGGCGCTTCCCAAACTTGTCCTTTAATAGGAAAACACCCCAAAACGGGAGCTGAGCTTTCCAAGGAAATATTCCTTCAGGGAGGATAATTCTGGAGAGATGGGAATTGTAATAGAGATTGATTTTTTCCAGTATTGCCAAGGAAGGACAGAAATCAAAAATTATATTGAAATTACAGGGGAAAAAATAAATCTTTAATTCAAATTCTTCCTTGGCGTAAATCTCCTGTTTCCTCCTGGCTTTCCAAACTATTGTTGCCAGGATTAAATGCTCCATTTTCCCAAAAAAAATTTATGGATTCTATTTATGTGTTTTAAAAAACCCTAATTCATGGAGATCTGTTGCCTTTCCCTGGATATTTATAAACTCTCTGCACTTGGGGCCGGAGGGAAGAACCAAGCCACAATTTAGCACAATTACAGAAAAACAATCTTAATTAAAATTCTTCCTTGTCATCAATATCCTGTTTGCTCCCAGCTTTCCAAACTATCGTTCCCAGGATGAAACACTCCGGTTTCCCAACACTCATTAACTGCATTTTTGGATTTTTGTACCAATTCCTTCAGTTTGTTTTTTTTCCCTGATGGTTCTCCCCATCAAAAATTAAATAAAAATGTACAGAAAAAAAAAAATGTTTAATTTGAATTCTTCCTTAGCATAAATCTTCTATTTTCTCCTGACTTTCCAAACTATAATTCCCAGGATGAAGTGCTCCATTTTCCCAATGCTCGTTAACCACATTTTTGGATTTTTTGGACTGATTCCTTCACTTTTTTGGGACTTTTCCCTGAGGGTTTTCCCTGCTTTCCGCACAGATGCCAAAGGGACGATCCGGGAGATCGTGCTGCCCAAGGGGCTGGACCTGGACCGGCCCAAGCGGACGCGGACGTCCTTCACGGCGGAGCAGCTCTACCGCCTGGAGCTGGAATTCCAGCGCTGCCAGTACGTGGTGGGCCGGGAAAGGACGGAGTTAGCGCGGCAGCTCAACCTCTCCGAGACGCAGGTGAGACCCGTGGTGGCTCCTCGGGGTGGGGGACATCGCGGTGGCCGTGTCCCTGAGCCGTCGGATGCGCGGAGCGAGGCGGCGTCGGGATGCGCGCGGCGTTCCCGGCGATGGTTTTTCTTCATCGCGCCCTTGGAATGGTTGGGATAGGGTTGGGGACAACTCCGAGGGGTCTGTGGGGACACCCCCAGCTTGTGGTGTCCCCTCAAATGTCCGGCAAAGCGTCGAGGTGAGGTTGGACGGGGGTTGGAGCAACCTGGAAAAATGGGAAGTGGCCCTGGATGAGCTTTGATGTTGTTTCCAACCCAACCCGCTCCATGATCCTGGGAAAAGATGGAAGAGGAAGGAGCAGGAGGTGACAGTGGTGACCCAAAGTGGGACATGGTGGGGATCGGGGTGTGTGGGGGCTGCTCCCGCTTTTCCTGCACTCCAATCCCAGAAATCCAGGAATTAGCCCTGGATCTCTTCTCTATTGCCTTCCTTGGATGATGGGAAGGGATTTTCCTGCTTTTCCTGTGCTGGGGAGATCTGGGAGAATGGATGGGATGAGCTCTGAGGTTGATGCCTCTGATGGGGGTTGTGATGGTTTTGGCTTAGAAATTTATTATTAAATAATAATCGTAATTAATTAAACAGTATTAATGATGGTATTAATGTAATAATAATAATAATAATAATAATAATAATAATAATAATAATAATAATAGAATAATAATAGAATAATAATAGAATAATTATAAATATTCTGCCTTGTCCACTCCTTCCTTGCCAGGTCTGGCAATGGCATTGTTTACCTTGATTCGTACAGGGAATAATTCCCATTTTTCCAACCGTTTTTATGGAACAAACCCATCCCGGCCACGGGCGGCTGTCCCTGGCTTAGAGGGGTGGCATTTGGGGGGATCCATCTGGGGGGAAATCAGCATTCTGGGATGTTTTTGGTGGGGGATTTCGGTGAGGAGGAGGATTTGGGGCGGGATTCGGGAGAAAAGTGGCCTTGGGTTCCCTATTTCCGAGGTCCCCATGTCACCTCCACGGTGACACGAGGGTCACAGGTGGCTTTGGCTGTGTCGCCTTGTGGGAACAGCTTTGTCCTCCTGGTGAGGGTTCCCATTTCCTGGAATTCCTCTTCTTGGGATCCCTCTTCCCAGGAATTCTCTTCCCGAGGTCCCAGTGTCACCTCCATGGTGACACGAGGGTCACAGGTGGCTTTGGCTGTGTCACCTTGTGGGAACAGCTTTGTCCCCCTGGTGAGGGTTCCCTTTTCCCAGTGTCTTTCTTCCTGAGGTCCCTCTTCCCAGGAATTCTCTTCCCGAGGTCCCAGTGTCACCTCCATGGTGACATGAGGGTCACAGGTGGCGTTGGCTGTGTCACATTGCAGGAACAGCTTTGTCCCCCTGGTGAGGGTTCCCTTTTCCCAGTGTCTTTCTTCCTGAGGTCCCTCTTCCCAGGAATTCTCTTCCCAAGGTCCCGGTGTCACCTCCATGGAGCCATGATGGTCACAGGTGGCTTTGGCTGTGTCACCTTGTGGGAACAGCTTTGTCCTCCTGGTGAGGGTTCCCATTTCCTGGAATTCCTCTTCTTGGGGTCCCTCTTCCCAGGATTTCTCTTCCCGAGGTCCCAGTGTCACCTCCATGGTGACACGAGGGTCACAGGTGGCTTTGGCTGTGTCACATTGCAGGAACAGCTTTGTCCTCCTGGTGAGGGTTCCCATTTCCTGGAATTCCTCTTCTTGGGGTCCCTCTTCCCAGGAATTCTCTTCCCGAGGTCCCGGTGTCACCTCCATGGAGCCATGACGGTCACAGGTGGCTTTGGCTGTGTCACCTTGTGGGAACAGCTTTGTCCCCAACACAGGCAGCGGCTGATGTCTCCCTCTTCTTGGGGTCAGTCCCTTTTCCCGGAATCCCTTTTCCCAGGATCCATCTTCCCGGGATTTCTCTTCCCGAGGTCCCAGCGTCACTCCCACAGAGCTGGCACTGTCACAGGTGGGCATGGCCGTGTCACACTGCAGGGACAGCTTTGTCCTTTCCTCAAGGTCCCTGCTGCCACTGTCCCGGTGTCACCTGCACAGATCCATGGGGAGCAGAGGATTCCAGGGAGCCGGAGCTGCACAGCAATTCCCTTTTCCCAGGATTGCTCCTCCTGGGTGTCACCTCCACAGAGCCGGGAGTGACAGGTGACAAGGGACAAGTTGTGTGTCCCTGGCATGGGATCCCTCTTCCCAAATCCCTCTTCCCAAATCCCCATTTTCACATTCCCCTTTCCAATTCTCCCTTCCCAAATCCCTCTTCACAAATCCCCAGTCCTCCTTCCCAAATCCCACTTCCCCAATTCCCCTTTCCAAATCCCCCTTCCCAAATCCCCATTTTCACTTTCCCCTTCCCAAATCCCCCTTCCCAAATCCCCATTTTCACATTCCCCTTCCCAAATCTCCCTTCCCAGATCTCCCTTCCCACATCCCCCTTCCCAAATCCCAAATCCCACTTCTCAAATCCCAGATCTCCCTTCCCACATCCCCCTTCCCAAATCCCACTTCCCAGGATCTTTCTTCCCAAATCCCGCTTCCCAAATTCCTCTTCCCATATCCCAAATCCCCCTTCCCAAATCCCAAACCCCACTTCCCAAATCCCCCTTCCCAAATCCCAAATCCCACTTCTCAAATCCCAAACCCCACTTCCCAAATCCCCCTTCCCAAACCCCACTTCCCAAATCCCCCTTCCCAAATCCCACTTCTCAAATCCCAAATCTCCCTTCCCAAATCCCGCTTCCCAGGATCCCTTTTCCCAAATCCCTCTTCCCACATACCAAATATCCCTTCCCGAATCCCACTTCCCCAATTCCCCATCCCAAATCCCCCTTCCCAAATCCCCCTTCCCAATCTCACTTCCCAAATCCCCATTCCTAAATCCCAAATCCCACTTCTCAAATCCCACATCCCCCTTCCCAAATCCCACTTCCCAAGATCTTTTTTCCCGAATCCCGCTTCCCAAATTCCTCTTCCCAAATCCCAAATCCCCCTTCCCAAATCCCAAATCCCACTTCTCAAATCCCAAATCCCCCTTCCCAAATCCCAAATCCCACTTCTCAAATCCCAAATCCCACTTCTCAAATCCCAAATCCCTTTTCCCAAATCCCTCTTCCCACATACCAAATCTCCCTTCCCGAATTCCACTTCCCCAATTCCCCACAAAATCCCCCTTGCCAAATCTCCCTTCCCAAATCCCCCTTCCCAAATCCCCCTTCCCAAATCCCCCTTCCGAGTCTCCCTCCGCGGTCTCGCCATTTTTCCCCTGGGAAGGGGGGGACGTGCCCAGCAGGGTGCCAGGCCTGGGAGGTCACAGCCTGTCCCTAGGGATGAAATTCCCATCTTTTCTCTGGAGCCTGGCTGCTGCCTCCATCCCTGGGTGAGAAAATTCCCACCCCATGGGGCCGGCCGCTGTCGCTTCTCCTCCGCTCTCCCCCTTCCCGCATCCTCTTCCCTCCTTCATCCCTGTCTCCTTAAATTCCTTTCCCTGCTTTTCACGCCGATTTTCCTTCCCCGCAGCCAATTCCCGGTTTCCAGAACCTTCCCAGCTCCCTGGTTTTTCCCAGCCACCCGGAATTCCCAGTTTCCTCCTCTTCCTCTCTCCAAGGATAGTTTCACACTCAGGCATCGTCCTTTCCCTCATTCCTGTTTTTTTCAGGATGTTTTCCTCAGGAATTCCAAGAGTTTTAAATTGATTTTTCCAAGCCCCGCTTTGGGTCTGGGAGCTGCTGATCCCACCTGGATGTGACCTGGAGAGGGAAAAGTCACTTCCAGTCCCTCCTGTCCCCACCCAGCTCCTCCAAACCGGGATAAATCCAACTTTTCCAGCAATCCCAGGATTTTGGCTGTTTCTGGGGATTCATTCACTGAGATCTCCCATAATTTAGGGAATTTTAGTGGGGGGATCCCAATCAACAGCATCTCCTGGCTCTATTTTTTTTTTTTTTTTTCTGGGACAGGGACAGATCCTTTCCAACCCCTCCCTGGGCTGGATTTGAATTCCAAGAGGAATTCTTGGAATTAAATCTTTAATTCCGAGGAAGCTGCTCCTGACTTTTCCCCGTGGATTCTATGGGAACCTTGCAGGAAAGGGGCCACCAGGGTTGGGATTTTTTTGTGCTTGTGGATGTTTGGGAAGGGAGGGGGGAAGGATGATTCATCCTGGCGAGGAGGGAATGTGACGAGATGGGAAGAGACACGGTGTGATCGCAGCTGGAATGCTGCAGCATTCCCGGGAGCGGGGCTGGGATCTTGCAGAAATCCTGCTGGAAATCGAGGGGGAAAAATGGGATTTAGGGTCTGGTTTTACTTTGCTGGGAGCTGTTGGCAGAGTTGGAGGCAGGATGGGCTGGGGAAAACAGGATTTGGGATTTTTTTTTTGGCTCGGAGTCCTGCTCCAGGAGTTGGGGGATCAGGCAGGGAGAGAGGGATCACCCAAAAAAAGATGGGAATCGGCCAGGAGTGAGGGTGGGATCAACCAGGGGACAGCAGGGATCATCCAGGAGAAAGGAGAAATTCCTGGAAGTGAGGGTGGGATCATCCAGGGGACAGCAGGGATTGCTCAGGGAAGAGGGAAAATCACTCAGGGATCAGTGCAGGGAAAATAGGAATCACCCAGGAGCGAGGATGGGATCAGCCAGAAATTATGGGATCAGCCAGAAATTATGGAGATTTCCTGGAAGTGAGAATGGGATCACCCAGAAATTCTGAGATCCCCCAGAAATTATGGGAATCACCCAGAAATGATGGAGATTTCCTGGAAGTGAGAATGGGATCACCCAGAAATTCTGAGATCACCCAGAAATTATGGGAATCACCCAGGAATGAGGATGGGATCATCTAGAAATGATGGGATCAGACAGAAATTATGGGGATCACCTGGAAGTGAGAATGGGATCATCCAGAAATTATGGGATCAGCCAGAAATTATGGGAATTCCTAGAAGTGAGAATGGAATCACCCAGAAATTAGGGAA